GGCTGACTGGCTAGCTAAGCAGCTAGCTACCTGGCTACCCAACCAGCTGCCTAGCTAGCTGCCGGGCTAGCTAGCTGTCCAGCTAGCTGTTCAGCTACCTAGCTAGCTAACTGCCCAGCTAGCCAGCCTGCTGCCCAGCTAGCTAGCTAGCTAGCTAGCTAGCCAGCTAGTTATGCAACAAATACCATTCAATTCCTTGCGAGCCACAACTGGCAAATGGGTAACCTGTGGAGTAAAAAGTTGAAATAATTTCTTTTTTGAACTTTGACGTGGATTTTTCCAAGTGAAATGATGAAATGAAATGAAATGAAAACGATTTCTTTTCGAACTGGAAATGGAACTAATGGAACTTCAAATGGAACTTCGAACTCAACTCAAAGTTGAATTCTTTTCTGCTTTTTCTGCTGCAGAAGAGTCGGCAGCAGCGTTTCTTGGGACCACTTTTGCTTCACCCTCGACAGCAAATTGTCTGCTGCAGTTGTGGAGGCTTTTGTGCGGCTCTTCAACCGCGGGCTCATTTACAGGGAAGAAAGGTAACTTTTAAATCAATTCAATTCAATTAATTTGATTTAATTCAATTAATTTGATTTAATTCAACTAATTTGGTTAATTTAATTAATTTAATTAATTCAATTTAATTCAATTGGTGTCGAAGGCGTTTTCGAACGAGAAGCGGAATTAGCTCAAGTCGAGTGCTGGAGAGCTGCGCTTCAACACAAACCCTAAACCCTAAACCCTAAACCCTCCTAAACCCTAAACCCTAAGTCCTAAACCCTGGGTTAAAAGTAGAAAGAATGAAGCAGAACGACCTCAAATGGAGTGTTGGAGAGCTGCTCTTCAAAACAAACCCTAAACCCTAAACCCTCCTAAACCCTAGACCCTAAACCCTAAACCCTAGATTAAGAGTAGAAAGCATGAAGTAGAATGAGCTCAAATGGAGATCTGGAGAGTAGCTCTTCAACACAAACCCTAAACCCTAAACCCTAAACCCTTATTGTTTCTTTATCTATCAATTCTTAAATAATTAATTAATTAATTAATTTATTTATTTATTATTTATGTTATTAATTTGTTTATTCTTTTTGTTTATTCCCAACCACTCCTCTTTCTTCAGACACAATCCAAAAAGTTGAATCTGCCGCCTCGTTTCACTTCTCATCTATTTATTTATTTCTCACCAACTAATTAGTTATTTATTTATTTATTCATTTATTTATTTATTAATTTGTTATTTATTTATTATTTACATTATTAATTTGTTTATTCTTTTTATTTATTCTTAACCCCTTTTTCTTCACAGAAGCAATCCCAAGAATTGAATCTACCATCCATTTACCAGTAATTAACTAACTAATTAACCAATTACCATTATTATTTATTTATTTATTTATTTATTTATTTATTTATTTATTTCTTTGTTTAGACTGGTCTCGTGGTCTTCTTGTTTGAAGACGGCGCTGAGCGACATCGAAGTGGACACGGAGACAATTGAACAGCCGCAGACAGTTCGAATCCCAGGTGGACTTTTTATTTTATTTCTTATTTTTATTTTATTTAATTTAATTAATTTAATTAATTTGATTCATTTAATTGATTTAATTCATTTAATTCTGTTTAATTTGATCTGAATTTGGTTTGAATTTGAGTTGAATTCGTTTCAATTTGATTGAACAGCCGCAGACAGTTCGAATCCCAGGTGAAGTTTTTATTTATTTAATGTGATGTAATTTAATTAATTTGATTAATTTAATTCATTTAATTATTTAGTTCTTGTAATTCATTTAATTCTGCTTAATTTGATTTTAATTCGACTTTGAGTTTAATTCATTTTAATTCATTTTAGTTCATGTAGTTCGTTTTGATTTGATTTTAGTTCACCTCAATTCACTTACATCCATTTTAATGGATTATAATTTGACTTCAATTCATTTCAACTCATTTAATTGATTTTAATTTGATTTGAATTGATTTGAATTGATTTAATTGATTTTAATTGGTTTAATTGGATTTTAATTTGATTTAATATAATTTGTTTTATTCTTTTTTGTTTCATTTGGTCCTTTATTTGCATTCTTTGCATTCTTTGGATTGCTGCTGTTGCCATTGCTGTCTTTAATGCTGCTGGTGCTTTCCTCATTGCTGCTTATCATCAGTATTACTATTATTTATTATTAATTACTATTTATTATTATATTGTAATTATTGTTATTGTTGTATTATTACTCTTATTATTATTAGTATTACTCTTATTATTATTACTCTTATTATTATTATTATTATTTTATTACTATTATTATATTATTATTATTGCTATTATTATTTTATTATTATTATTATATCATGTTCATCATTAGCTTTCGATTTATCTGTTCAAAATAGCTGCTTCTGTAGGGTGCTGCAGCTTCTTGTTTCAGACCAAATGCCCAAACCAGGAGTGACAAATAATGTTTTTTATTTTAAGTTCATTGATTGTATTACAATTTCTAAGTTCTCGATTTTCGTTGAATTGAAGTTCAAAACTCCTTCAAATTCAACTTTTCTGAATTCCCCCTCTGTGCAGAACACGAGCAGTTTCGGCGTTTCGGCTGCATTTTCGTCGGTTTTTCGAATTTAAAGAAGCAAATAAACGAAAAAGAACAAAACAAGTTCATTTGTTTGCTTATTTTGCGCCACAGGCTTCGATTTCCCCGTGGAAGTTGGCTTTTTGTGGCACTTCGTCTACAAAGTCGAAGGCGGAGGCGAAATCGAAGTCGCCACCACCCGGGTCGAAACCATGCTGGGCGACGTTGCGGTGGCTGTACACCCCAGCGATCCGCGATACCAGGCGGGCCCGAGTTCCCTTCACTTTTATTTTTCTTCATTTTTATTTATTTATTTCTTTTTTCCTTTCTTTTGTTGCTCCGTGGTGCTCTTTCTCTTCTTTCTTTGGCCTCGTTTTGGCGTCCTGAGTTGCTTTTCTTTTTCGGTTTTTCTTTTTCTGTTTTTCTTGTTTTTTCCACTTTTCTGCTTTTCGCAGTTTTTGACTTTTGACTTGCTTTTCTTTTCCAGTTTCTTTTTGATTTTCTTTTCCAGTCCACTTGTCTTTCTAGCTTCTTTTCTTTCTCCTTTCCTTTTTCTTTTTCTTTGTTTGGTTTTGTCTGTTGTTTTCGCTGCATCCGCTGCTCCTGCTGCTGCTACACGGCATCTGCTGCTGCTGCTGCTGCACGGCACCTGCTGCTGCTGATGCTGCACGGCATCTGCTGCGGCTGCTGCTGCACGGCGTCTGGTGCTGCTGCTGCTGCTGCTGCACGGGGTCTGCTGCTGCTGCGTGGTGAGTGTGTTTGGGTTGCTGCTGCTGCTGCTGCTGCTGCTGCTGCTGCTGCTGCAGCACCTGGTGGGGCGGCGGCTGCTGCACCCTTTCTTTCCCTCGCGGGAGATGCGGGTGATAGCCGACGAGTACGTCGACAAGGACTTCGGCACTGGCGCTGTCAAAATAACTCCCGCCCACGACAAAAACGACTACGAAATCGGAAAGAGACACAGTCCGCAGCTGCTGCTGCTGCTGCTGCTGCTGCTGCTGCTGCTGCTGCTGGTTTGGGTTCTGCTGCTGCTGCTGCTAGTTTTGGTTCTGCTGCTGGTGCTGCTGCTGCTGTCTCTGCTGGTGGTATTGGTTCTGCTGCTGCTGCTGTTTCAGTTGGTGGTATTGGTTCTGCTGCTCCTGCTGCTGCTGGTTTTGGCTCTGCTGCTGCTGCTGCTGCTGGTTTTGGTTTTGCTGCAGCTGCTGTTTGCGTCGAGTTCGACTTCATTTTCCGCCGAACAATCCACTAAAATGAACGAATTAAATGGACTGTTCTAGAGCCAATTATTTAACTGAATTAATTGATTTAATTTGATTCAACTTAATCAATTTAATTAATTTAATTAATTTGTTTTACTATTTTATTTTCCACTTTTGCAGAACTCGAATTCATCACCATCTTTTCGCCCGACGGCCACATCAACGAAAACGGCGGCGAATTTGCGGGGCAGCATCGCTTTGCGTGTCGCCACAACATTCAAATTAGACTTAAAGAATTGGTGAATAATTAATTAATTTGTTGATTTATTTTGATTTATTTCGTTTTAATTTAAGTAATTTGATTCAATTTAATTAAAATGATTGGTTTAATTGGTTCATTTGGTTCATTTGGTTCGTTTAATGTCCAGTTGGATGCAGTTTTTAGGTGAAGTGAGGCTTTGCTTGTCGCCCCAATATTCAAATTAGACTTAGAGAATTGATAATATTTAATCAGTTAATTTATTTAATTTGATTCAATTAAATTGATTTAATTAATTTAATTAAATTAATTGTTTCAATGAATTAAATGTTTATTTGAATATAATGTTTGGGTGAGATGGATCTTTAAATGGAATGTTTGCTTGTCGCCACAATATTCATATTAGACTTAAATAGGTGGTAAGTGTTTTATTTAATTAATTTCATCAATTTGATTATTTAACTTAATTCATTTAATTGGTTTAATTAATTAAATGTTTATTTGAAATTAATATTTAAACGAAATGAATCTTTAAAAAGAGTCTTTGCCTGTTGTTACAATATTCAGATTAGACTTAAAGAATTGTTATATATAAAATTAGTTTAATTTATTTGATTCATTTAATTAAATTAATTCTATTCATTTAATTAATTAAACGAATTAAATGCTTATTTGAATATAATATTTACATAAAAGGAATCTTTAAATGAAATGACATTCAGAATAGACTTAGAGTTGGTTAGCAGCAAACAATTTTAATTGTTTAAATGAATTAAATATTTAATTAAGTATTTAATAGAATTAAATATTTAAATAAACATTAAATAGAATTAAATATTTGAAAGAAATAAATGAAATGAATCTTCGAATTTAGTAAACGTTTAAAAGCTAATAAGCCACTTGTGGTTTATTTTTGGTGGATTTGTTTTTGCTGCCGCTGAAAAACAATTTATGTTTTATTTTTTTTATTTGTGCCAAAAAAGATTCATTTAATTCACTCGGTGGAATGAACAGCAAGTCTCTGTTTGCTGCTGAGCATTCCCCCTTGCTGCCTGCTCCCTTTGCGGTTTAGGGTTTAGGGTTTAGGGTTTAGGGTTTAGGGTTTAGGGTTTAGGGTTTTGGTCCCCCGACGCAGGGCCTGCTGCGAGACAAAGTCCCCAACAGCAAACCGATGCAGCTGCCGCGCTGCAGCCGCAGCGGAGACATTATCGAGTACTTGTTGGTCCCCCAGTGGTGAGTCCCCTTCGAGGGTTTAGGGTTTAGGGTTTAGGGTTTAGGGGCTGGGGTTTAGGGTTTGGGGTTTAGGTTTCAGAGGCTGAGGTTTACTGCAGCTGCAAGCACACCGCGAGCTGAAGTTTAGCAGCAGCAGCAGCAGCTGCTGCTGCTGCTGCTGTTGCCTCTGCTGCTATTGTTGCTGCTGCTGCACCTGCAGCTTCTACCGCTGCTGCTTCCACCACCGGTGCTAGTGCAGCTCTCACTGTAGCTGCTGTTACTGCTTCTAGCGCTGCTACTGCTGCTGCTGCTCCTGCCACTGCTGCTGCTGCTGCTATTGCTGCTGCTATTGCTGCTGCTGCTGCTGCTGCTGCTGCAGGTGGATGGACTGCAAGGAGGCGGGGAGGCAAAGCGTCATGGCAGTGCGCAACAAAGAGCTGACGATAAAGCCGGAGAACCACGTGGCCACTTGGGAGTACTGGCTGACGAATGTGCAGGACTGGTGCCCAAACCCTAAACCCTAAACCCTAAACCCTACGCCCTGAATTGTAAGCCCTAAACGGCGCGGCTGCGGGCGCTGTGGGGCGCGGCTGCTGCGGCGCAGCAGCAGCAGCAGCAGCAGCAGGTGGCTGGGGCGTGTGCGCAGGTGCATATCGCGACAGCTGTGGTGGGGCCACCGCATTCCCGCGTACAAAGTTGTGGAGCCAGAAGTAGCAGCAGCAAACTGCAACATGGGGGGGGAGGCGTGGGTTGCTGCTGCGAGTTACGGGGAGGCGGAAGCAGCAGCGCGGGAGAAGTTCAAAATTGCAAAAGACGCAAAAGTTGTGCTGCAGCAAGACGAGGACGTGCTGGACACCTGGTTCTCCTCGGGCCTGTTTCCTTTCAGCGTTTTTGGCTGGCCAGAAGAAACGGAAGAGTTCAAAGCTTATTTTCCGACGACTTTGCTGGAAACGGGTGAGGCTGGGGTGTACGCGCACCTGGGCGCGGGGGCGCAGGCTGCGGTGTACGTACACCTGGCGCGCGGCGCGGGGAGTGCGGGTCCGGAGGCGCGATCCGCAGTTTCTGGCCGCGGATCCGGGAATAAATAGGTGGAAATGGGTGAGATTTTGCATTTTGTTGCTGGATTTCAGGCCACGACATCCTGTTCTTCTGGGTGGCGCGGATGGTGATGCTTTCGCTGCTGCTGACGGGGCAGCTGCCGTTCAAGTCGGTGTTTCTGCACCCGATGGTGCGGGACTCGCAGGGGCAGAAAATGTCCAAGTCGAAGGGCAACGTGGTGGACCCTTTGGAGGTGATCGAGGGGATCTCTTTGGAGGCTCTTGTCGCGAAGTTGCATGCGGGAAACTTGCATGCAAAGGAGGCGCGGCGCTGCGAGGCGATCCTCAGGAAAGACTTCAAAGACGGCATTCCCGCGTGCGGCTGCGACGCGCTGCGCCTCGGCCTCGTGGCTTACATGCGCCAGGGGCGCAACATCAACTTGGACTTGAACCGAGTTGTTGGCTACAGACAGTTTGCAAACAAGATCTGGAACTGCAGCAAGTTCGCGCTCGACAAGTGGGCCCTGGACCTCAGCAGCAGCAGCAGCAGCAGCAGCAGCGGCGGCGGCGGTGAAAGCGGCGCCGCGGAAGGCGGCTTCGTTCCGCAGGGGCTGCAGCTGCTCTGCTGCAGCAGCAGCCAAGCCCCCGACTGCAGCAAAACCCTCCACTGCAGCAAAACCCTCCACTGCAGCAACACGCCCGTCGCCCTCGCAGAACTCAAGTGGGAAGACAGGTGGATCCTCCACAGACTCTCCGTCGCCGCAGAACAGGTAGGGTTTAGGGTTTAGGGTTTAGGGTTTGGGGTTTTGAGACTGCGGATCGCGCACGTCTTGTTCAGCCATTTCGGGAGCCTTGCTTTCTGCAGTTTCTGCCTTTTCCCTCTGATCTAATTAACTATTTTGTTTTATTTTATTTCATTTTATTTTATTTTATTTTAATTTGAACTACTCAGGCCAACCGCTGCTTCGAGAACTTCGAGTTTGGAGAAGTGGTAAATGCAATTTACAACTTTTGGCTTTACGAACTTTGCGACGTTTACTTAGAGGCGATAAAGCCTCGGCTGCAGCCCGTGAGTGCAGCAGCAGCAGCAGCAGAAGGCGACGCAGCAGCAGCAGCAGCAGCAGCAGCAGCACGTGCGCGCGACGGCCGCTGCGCGCAAGAAGTGCTCTTCACCTGCGTCGACAGAGGGCTGCGGCTGCTGCACCCGATCTGCCCTTTTCTGACAGAAGAACTTTTCCAAAGAATTCCTTTTTATTCCGGAAAAGCAGAATCGATTTGCATAAGTGACTATCCGCAGCAAGTGCTGGCCTGGACGGACCCGGCCCTCGACGTGCGGCTTCCTCCCAAACGCCAAACCCTAAACCCTGAACCCTAAACCCTAAACCCTGATTGGGGGAATCGCGCGGGATTTCGGGCGGTTTCTCGTTTTTTCGCGAATAATGTCAACGGGAATAATGCGTATGTCGTGGTGACAGCGCAAATAAGCAAAATGTGAAGTAATTCGGGAACATGCAACAGTGGTGCTGCTGCTGCTGCTGGGCTTTGCTGCCTCTGCTTCGCAGGCCAACATGCAGCAGCTGCAGCAAATCGTCGGGCACTTCAGATCGCTTTTGGCGGCGCTGGAGATTCCGCCGAAGACGAAGCCGCAGGGCTTCGTGCTGCTGCGGTCTGCAGCAGAGGCTGTTCAGTTTTTGCAAGAAACGGCAGCGACCATGGCGATCCTGTCGAAGCTGAGCAAAGTGAGTGGAAAATACCTTTCCAGAACTTCTAATTTTTCAATTTAAAACTAATTGATCCAAAAAAGTCCGCGAAACTCCACTTTTTCCTCCGCTTTCCCTCAGGTTTCCGTCCTCACCGACGCCCCCCCGGCGGGCTGCGTCTCAGACGTCGTTTCCCCACAACTCACCATTTACCTCCAAATCGGAGAAGGAGTTAATATTTCGCAAACTCTGGAGAAGTTGGAAAAGAAAAAAGCCAACTTGCTCAGCAAGGTCAGCTCCGCTGCAGCAGCAGCAGCAGCAGCGCCGCGCTGCAGCAGCTTGCTGCTGTTCGCTGCAGCACGTGGGGCATTTAGATCTGCACTTTCGAGCCTGCATTGCATTCTTTTGAATTAGTTTTAATGCAGATTTATTCTACTGCTCATTTAGTTACGAGACTCCGCAGCAAAGACCGCTGCAGCGGGAGCAGCAGCAGCAGCAGCAGCAGTGAAAATGAGCAGCAGCAACATGCCCTGTATGAACTGCAGCACATGATACATCTGCGTGCGTATCTTCTTTATGTTATTACACATCAAACACATAGGAATTTGCAGATTTAATAAAACAATAAATATATTCAAATAATTAGAAACTCTCCACATTCAGCTCACGCTGAATTGCTGCAGCAGTCGGCGGGGCCAAAGCACTCTTTGCTGCTGCTGCTGCTGCTGCTGAATCTTTTGCATTTTAATTTGCTGCTTTTCTTTTTGTTGCAGCTGGATGGCTACGAGAAGAAAATAAAAGAACCCAACTTCGTAAGAGCCCCCGAAGCTGTGCAAGAAGCTGCGCTGCAGAAGAAAGCAGACCTGGAAAAAGAGCTGCTGCTGCTGCAGGCAGCAATTAGCGAAGTGGCCCCGCTGCTGCAGACTGCAGCCACGACCAAGTCCAACAGCCCGCAGCAGCAGTAGCCGCCCAGCAGCAGCAGCAGCAGCAGCAGCAGCGGAAGCAGCGGAGGTGCTACGGAATGCTGCAGCTACAGTAGTGGAGGCTGCCTGGGGGCGCCCGCAGAAGCCTCAGCGGCGCTGTGACCACTGAAAGGTCCACTGGTCCACTGGCTTAGAGCAGCAGCAGGCTGCTGCTGCTGCTGCTGCTGCTGCTGCTGCTGCGATTTGCTTTAGTTGAGCTGCAGCAACTCTCTTTCGAAGCTCTGTAGCTCATTTGAGGAGCTGCGGGCCCTTCGCTATTTGCTGCTAGAAAGAGAGAATTCAAAAGGAAGCAAACGGAGCCAAATCTGCTGCTGCTGGTATCTGCAGCAGCTCTTTGCTTAGTTGCTGCTGCGAGTTGCTGCTGCTGTGCCGGCAGCTGCCCCGGCAGCTCGCCTCTTGGCTGCGCTGCTGCAGCGGCGCTGCAGCAGCCGCTGCAGCGGCGCGCAGCAGCAGCAGCTGCAGGGGGCCCCCGGCAGAGCGCCTTGGGCGCCTTTTGGGAGGGGGAAGCTGCTGGTTTTTGAGGTGTATGTACGCCAGGTGCATTGTTTGTTCTTTAGCAGACACTTGAATGCATGCAATTGACATTTCAGAACATTTTTTGCTGCGTTTCTGCTGCTGCTGCTGCCGCAGCAGTGCTCACCCCATGTGACCTCGCAGTGTCTGCTGCGTGGCTGCGTCCGTTTCGCCCCAATTTCCCCTCATTAGTTGCAAATTGGAAACTTTGTTGTTATTTATTTTAAAGTTCGCCACGAAGTTCGAAAGAAAAGGGAAAAAGGCGGCGCGCAGCAGCAGTGTGCGCGGAAAGCCCCAAGCGACGCTGGGCAGCTGCGGAGAGCTGCTGCTGCAGCAGGAAGCTGCGAGCGAAAGACGCATGCGCCTCCGCGCAAGACAAGAGAAAGGAAATTGAAAATAAATGGTTTATTTTGCTGCAAATTGCTCCTTTAAAGCTGCCACGGAGCTGCTGCTTCCCCCGGGAACTGCTGCGCCCGCTGCGGCTGCAGGTTTCGGTCGAGTCGATGGCGGCGCTGAGGTGTACGTACACCTCAGCGCCGCGCCGCCAACACAGCTTTCAACTCTTCTGAAACTCGCAAAGTCATTATTGAATTTGCTGCTGCGGGAGGATGCGCTGCAGCGTTCTCTGCGCATTTTGCTGCAACGTAGAAGCTCAGCAGCAGCAACTTTGGCGAATTCCTCTTTTCCTCTCTGTCTTTTTCCCCCCTTGCTTCCGCCTCAGGGGTCCTCGCAGCAGCAGCAGCAGCAGCAGCAAGCCATGGACTGCGACTGCGACGTGCCCAGCAGCTCGCTGCTGCTGCGCCAGGCTCGCCTGTCTGCTGCTGCTGCTCTCGACTTGAGCTGCAGCAGCAGCAGCACGGCTCCGGAGGCTGCTTCTTCGTTGCCGCAGGTGTACAGACACTCCGTTGCTGCTTCTGCTCTCCGCGAAAAACGCCGAAGAACAGCAAAGTCCCCAGAGCCAGCAGCAGCAGCAGCAGCAGCAGAAAGTCCCTCAGTGGCTCTTTGGGTCAAGAGGTGCCGCCTGTACATCCGCAGCAGCAGCCTCGCCCCCTCTCGAGATACAGAAAGCCCCAAACCCGCCGCTGCATGCAGCGCATGCAATGCATGCGCTGCATGCACTGCATACGCTGCATGCAGTGCATGCAGTGCATGCAGTGCATGCAATGCATGCGCTGCGTGCGCAGCCGGGGCCCCGAGGGAGGCGCCCAGCAGCGGGCACGCAGCCGCAGCCGCAGCAGCGGCACCAGCAGCAGAAGCAACAGCAGCAGCAGCAGCAGGTCTTCAGCGCGGCGCTGGGGACAGCAGCGCGGGGGCCCCAGTTTACTTTTCGGCTGCAGAGGTGCCGCAAGCAGCAACAGCAGCAGCAGCAGCAGCAGCTTCTTGCTGCTCCCCTTATGCAGCAGCAAATGAGTACCTTCTGCTTTGCCACAATGAGCGGCTGCACAGACAAAGACTGCGGGCGCCAGCTGCTGCTGCTGCTGCTGCTGCTGCTGCTGGGGAGGGGCGTTTGGGCCCGCGAGAGCCCGCGGGTGCAGCAGCAGGTGCAGCAGCAGGTGTACGTACACATGAACTGCTGGGGCCGCCCGGAGGAAGAAAAGACAGCGGGGTGGCTGTGGGGTGTATAGACACCTCAGCTGGGGCGTGTGGGGTTTTGGGGGCGGCGGGGTGTCTAGATGCCGCAGCGCCTGCTGCTGCAGCAGCTGCTGCAGCAGATTACAGCAGCGCAAATGCTTTTATTAAAAAGCTGCAGTTCTCCTGAAGACTTTTCTTTCCAGTGTATGTACAGCGCAGCGCTGCGGCCCCTGACTTTACTTTTTGCTTCTGCATGCACGCTGCTGCTGCAGCAGGGACTGCTGCTGCAGCAGGGACTGTCCAGCTGGTGCTGCTGCAACAGAGACTCTCCAGCTGCTGCTGCTGCGGCAGCAGAGGCTCTCCAGCTGCTGCTCCTGCTGCTGAGACTCTTCAGCTGCAGAGACTCCGCAGCTGCTGCAGCTGCTGCAGAGTCTCCCCAGCTGCTGCTGCAGCCTTCTGCGGAGACGCATAATCTGCAAATTGAACTTGAAGCCTAGAGGGAAAAGCGCTTGCCTTTAAAGTTATTTACCATCGAAGGCAGCAGCAGCAGCAGCAGCAGCAGCAGCAGGGCAGATCTGCGCGCCAACAGAGGTGTGCTGCAGCAGCAGCAGCATTTTGCTTCTTAGGCTGCAGCAGGGGCTTGTAAAGTGAGCAGGTGGTGATGTAGAGACTTTAAATGAGTGCAGCAGTTATTCAGGTGTACGTAGACCCTCCAGTTCCCAGCTAATAACGAAACAAAGAACTGGAGTGTCGATACACCGCAGCGCCTGCGCCTGCGCAGCTGATCCGCAGCAGCAGCAGCAGCAGCAGCTGCTGCTGCTGCTGCTGCTGAGGCTTCTTTGGTGCTGCGGGCGCTGCTGAAAAGGCCCCAAACAGCTGGCTCGGACTCAGGGAAAGGAGCAGCAAGGGCGGGCTTTGGGGCAGGCCTTTTGGGGCTTTTGTTGCATGCGTCTCTTTTAGTGCTGCATGCAAAAAGGTGGGAGAGGATTTAGCTGCTGCTTCCTCTCTTGTCTTTTGCATGCAGCATTTTAAGGAATGCATGCGTTAACGAGGGGTCCTTTTATTCGTTCTTGGTAGTCAGATTCACTTCTTTTTAATTTGCAGATTTAAAATTAACAGTAAGGAGCTGCTGCTGCTGCAGCGGGTCATTTTGGACGCAGCAACGGGAAACTGCAGCAGAAGGAAGCCGCCAGAAGCAGTTCTTTGTTTGTTTCTGAAGTATCCAATTAGCAGCAACAATTAGAGTTGGATTTAAATTAAAACTGTCTCTGAGTTATTAGGTTGTTTCTGAATTCAAGTTATTTAGGGGAGGCGGGTGGCTCTCGCTGTGCGGAGGCGCAGCGGCGGGTGGGAGTTTCTGGCTTTGCTTCGAAAGGAAAAGTTTCATTTGCAAGAAAAATCGATTTGCAATTTATGAAGATGTCTCAAAGAAGTCCATTTGCGAGGCTTTCGGGGAAAAGAAGGGCTTGCCGGCTCAGCGGGGGAGTTCGTTCAAGTTCAAGTTTCGCGTGGCTTTCTGAAATTTCGAAATTCGGAAACGAACGAGAAAAGAAAAGAAAAAAGAAACCAGAAAACTCGACTTGGCGAAACTTTGGGGCTGCGATTGCCGGGCCTTTTCTGAAGAAGAGTTCAATTAATTGCAATTATATCGGACTCAGACAAAACGAAATTGCAGAATTACAAAAGTGACTGAAGGCGAAAGCCGAAGGCGGGCGAAATCGCCGGGGTGTAGGTACACCTCAAGTTGCGGGCTTGTGCTCTGCCGCGTTCGGCCGACTGAAACTTCGGCAGATCGAGGCCGGAATCGGATTTAGATGCTTTAAGTTTGCAGATATAAATGGTGGAATTGCAGATTATTTATGGAATTAGAACAATTCGTGCAGCTTTCACTGCCCCACAGCGGCGGGTGGGCCGAAACCGCCGCCCGTGTTTGGTGCTGTCTGTTGTCCGTTGCCATGATCCTCTGGAGATGTCTTCTCATTCCGCGACTCAAAGCGCTTTAAATACCCTTTCTGTCTTTGTTTTTTGGATTTACTTTATCTTGACGCGGCACTTTGGCTCATTGGCGCTCGGATTCCCGCCGCCGTCTGCAGGTTCTAGAGCACGAACCAGCAGCAGCGCCCCCCTGCAGCAGCAGCGGCAGCAGCAGCAGCAGCAGGCCTCGAAGGGCTAATACATTTATGAATAAGCCCACGCTTTGGCCCTGTTCTTTCTCTTCTGCTGCCCCCTTCGTCTTCTGTCTTGACAGCAGCAGCCGCAGCGCCGCGCAGCTCCCATGGCGGCGCAGCCGCAGTCGTCAGGGGCCCCCAAGGGGGCCCCCCAGTTGTCTGAGCCCCCTCAGCTTTCTTCTGCAGCAGACGTGACGGGCCCCCCGTCCCCTGTTTCTCCCCCCCCATCAGCAGCAGCAGCAGCAGCAGCAGCAGCAGCAGCAGCGCCTGGAGAGGGTCAGGTGTGCGTGTGCGTGGACAGTCCGCCGCGCGGGCGCAGCCGCAGCGGAGGCCGCGCGCGCGGCGGCAGCAGGCAGCGGCGCAGCAGCAGCGGCAGCAGCAGCAGCAGCAGGAGTCTGGAGCAGCTGAAAACAGCAGCGCCGCTGGCTTCCGCGCAGCCCACGCCGTGGGGCCTCAACCGCTATTTGCTGCTGCTGCTGCACCTGCTGTACGTGGCCGTGAGCGCCCGCGTGCTGTTTGGGTGGCCGCACTTGTCGAACATGCTGCTGCGGGACGGGGCGTACCTGTGGCTGTGCGACCCGGAGCAGCAGCAGCAGCAGCAGCAGCAGCAGCAGCAGCAGCGGCGGTACGCGTGCGTGGCGCAGGACGAACAGGTGCAGTTCCTGTTCACGCTGGGAGTTGCTGTTTCGTTTTGCTGCTCGCTGCCGGCGGGGGCCCTGCTGGACTGGGGGGGCCCCCGTGCTGCTGCTGCAGTGGGGCAGCTGTGTGGGGCCGCGGGGTGGCTGCTGCTGGGCCTCGCGGGGCAGCAGCAGCAGCTCTACGTGCCCGCCGTGCTGCTGCTGGCAGCAGGAGCTGACGCAGGCTACCTGCCAGCTTTGACTGTTGCCAAACTCTTTCCCAAGCAGCAGCAACTTGTCTTGGTGTTGATTTGCGCAGCAATGAGTGCCAGCTTCAGCGTGACGGCCATCATGGACGCGGCCTGGCGCGCGTCTGCTGCTGCTGCTGCTGCTGCTGCT